ATGGTCTCGATCTCTTGACCTCGTGATCCACCCGCCTCGGCCTCCCACAGTGCTGGGATTACAGGCTTGAGCCACCGTGCCCGGCTACAACTGGTGTTTTAATCACTTCTTCCCATGCATATTCTTGGCCTGCACGTTTTATCACAGTATTTCATTTCAATCTGGTTTATGTTCTGCATCTCCCACCAGATTATAGGGTCTTCAAGAACAAGGTTGGAGTTGTATTCATCTTTATTTCTCTCACATCATAGTCAGGAACTAGACAGTTATTGAATGAATGTAGAAATCAGATCCTGTCTTCTCTTTCCACTTTCTATAGGACATCACTTCTATAAATGTCTGCTGTTGTCTGAAGCTTTTGTTGTGCAAAAGCAAGCACATCTTCTCTAAACAGCTTCCTTTCAACTCCACTGTTTTTGACAGTGACACTCCCCTAACTAGTCTGAGGCTAAACTTTTTTTTTTTTTTTTTTTTTTTTGAGAAAGGTCTCACTTTACCACCCAGGCTGGAATGTAGTAGCATGATCATGGCTCACTGCAGCTTCAACCTCCTGGGCTCAAGTGATCATGCCACCTCAGCTTCCTAAGTAGCTAGGATCACAGGTGTGCACTACCACTCCTAGACAACATGACAAAAATAATGTTTCATATATATGCACTCTCTCTAAAATTCTTAAAGCTTAATAAGGAGATGTTCTCTTTGTCCTCAAAAGCCTATTTATAATATAACTACATATAGCGTATCATAAATAACTATTTAAATATGGGCTATAGATTAGCATATTTTATGACATATCACACTGGTATTTATATCCAATTAAATTTCTCTCAGCCATATATGTAATAAACTAGTTACATCGTTTATTACTAGTTGAAAACTGACCAAGCCTGTTAAAGATGATAATAGACACTAACATTATATAACACTTCATACTATAAAAAGCACTTTCTATAGTATGAAAAATACTATAAAAAGTGACATACAAGTCTCATTTGACTTTGAATCCTGTGTGTTACATAACATTTCTATATCTAAATTGAAGAAAATGAGGCTTGAAGAGTGACTTGTCTAAGCAACAAAAAGCTGGGACTGGAACCTATGTCTTTTTATTTCACATTCAATTCTATTTATGTTACCACAGAAGCCTGTAGTAATAAACTATTACTGAAATAATGTGTACTCTACTCATCTATTTAGCATAAGTCTATAAAGCATAAATGTTACATGAAAAAGCAAAGTTATTACACTTTTTTCGGGAGAGACAAGATATGGGTCAGTGACACTGTGACAACTTTGGGGACATTTTTTTCCTAGCTAGCTTTTTCAGGTTGATAAGCTTGATAAGGTCAAGATAAATTAGGCACCATAATAAATCTTTAAATCAACAGTAAATTGGCAAAAAAAAAAAAAAACCCATCACCTCATAAAGATAGTACACCTGAGCCAACAGTTCACATTCCCATTTTGAAGAAATTTTTTTTGAGACAGAATCTCACTCCCCCTCCGAGGCCCAAGAGATTCTCCTGCTCAGTCTCATGACTAACTGAGATTACAGACACCCACCACCATGCCCAGATAATTTTTGTATTTTTAGTAGAGATGGGGTTTCACCATGTTGGCCAAGCTGGTCTCAAACTCCTGAGCCAGCCTCTCAAAAGTGCTGGTATAACAAGTGCGAGCCACGATGCCCAGTCTGAAGAAAATTTAAATACCGTTTTTATCAAAGAAATTTTGTTTTGACTAAATTTAGTAGCACCGAAAAACAAGTGTTTACACTTCAGAAATTAAAGAACTAGTAAATGTCCTGGAGGAAATGCTAAATGAAAAAATGGTGTAATAAACTGTAATGTCTTCTTGAAAGCAGGGGGTCTCAAAGATCATTTTGGAGAGAGAGAGAAAAAAAGAAAGCAGGGGTCAGACAGAACGTTTTAAGAAAACATTGCCAACAAGCCAGTTGCCATCCTATGTATCAAGAGCAATGAATCTGATGAACCAAAGTGACAAAATGGATTTAAATGGTGTCTTGTTAATTCCAACATCTCACTATTTAAAGTATAGCGTCTTCTTCCACATGACGGTATAACAAACTTAGTGGTGGTGTTTTTTTTCTTTTTGAGACAAAGAATCTTGCTCTATCACCCAGGCTGGAAGTGTATGGCACGATCGCAGCTCACTGCAGCCTTGACTCCCTGGGCTCAATCGACCCGCCCACCCACCTCAGCCTCCAGAGTAACGGGGACTGCAGATGCCTGCCACCAAGCCTTGTGGAAAAAAAAAAAACAAAAAACTAAGTATGTCATACTGTCGTATGGAAGAGGCCATATTATAAACAATGGGATGTTGGTACATACATACACACACACACACACACACACACACANGTATGGAAGAGGCCATATTATAAACAATGGGATGTTGGTACATACATATACACACACACACACACACACACACACATATATATATATATATATATATATATATATATACATTTTTTGTAGGGACGGGTCTCCCTATGTTGCCCAGGCTGGTCTTGAACTCCTGGGCTCAAGTGATCCCCCTGTCTTAGCCTCTCAGTGTTGAGTTTATAGGCACGATGAGCCACAGCGCCCAGCTGACATGCTTTAAAAAAAATGCAATTTCTGTTTAGATCTTGACACCTGTTGTTTTTACTAGTCACTATGGAAAGAAGCAAAAACCAGTTGCTTAAGATGCTCTAACATTTTTTTCCCCTGCAGAAGCCAACGTGGAATACACCATGAAAACTGGCTAAATGGGAACATTCTAACGTAGCTCACTGAATGCCATGCATTTCCACTATGTTGGAACTGACTTCTACTTTCCTACTTAGCCTTTAGGCGGCTTAGTCTCCTCTGGGCAAGTAACTTCTCTGAATGTTTCATTTCCCATGAAGCCATATATATATATATGTATATATATATATACATATACATATACACATACACACACACATACATAGGTGGAGAACTTTAGAGAGCTTAATCCGAATAAGGTCTATTAGACATCTTCAAAAGCTTTTTCTCCAGACGATGCAGAAACAGGCACACGGGGTTCTGCTTTCCCCACCTCCCACTCCCAAGCTCAGGCCCCATTCTTCTCACTTTCAATCCTCATTGGGATTGAAAACCTCCTTTGGGCTCCTAAAGGAATAGCAAAGAGCTGTTTTATTAATACCAGCGCTCCTCTATCCCCAAATCCGGCCAGGGAAGGGTTCGGAGGCCTCAGCTGCTTGAAAGAGGGTAGAGACAATCCCTCCTCGCCCATCTACCCGGCCACCGACCCCTTCCCAGATCCAGCGTCCCGGCCCCAGAACAAGTGCATGCTTGGATCTCTCCCGTACAGTGACGCGCGCGCTTGCCTGGCTAGGGCCTCTGAAGGGACGAGATCCCCAAGCGCTAGCCAGGACCACAGCAGGCGGAAGCTGCTGGCAGAGCGAGCTGGCGGCTGCAGCCGGCCTTGGTGGGGGAAGGGCTGCAGCCACACCCGGAAGTCGGTCCGGGAGGGAGGGGGAAATCTGAGGGATCGAGGCTTCCGGTGGCGCAAAGGGTGTCGGGAGCGGCTTCCAGTAAACCTTCCCTGGCCTCTGGAGGGACCACCGTTGCCGCCGCTTCGGCTTCCAAGATCTACGTTCGGGCTACGCGGCCACGGAGGCCGCCAGTGCGACTCCCACTGTGCCTGGCTCTGTCCATATTAGTTCCCAGGCGGCCGTCGCCGTTCCAGCAGCGGTAGCGGCAGCGGCGGACATGTTGTGAGGCGGCGGCGCGGGTGTCTGAAGGATGGTTTGGCCGAGGCGGCGGCAACGGCTGCTAGCGGCGGCGGCGGCGGCGGCAGCGGGGCCTCGGGCTCTGTAGAGCCGAGCCCGCTGGGTACCCACCCGGTACCGCGGCGAGGCCAGTGCCCCTGGATCTTGCCTCTGCTCCGACGCCGTTGGGGACCAGTTAGGCGACAGCGCCCGCCCCTCTGAGGAGACCCGAAGGTGGTTCCCCGGCCGCTCAAATTTCCGGACCACAGTGCTTTCCCCTCCTCAGCCGGGGCTGTATTCTCTCTAGAATCCTCAGGCCTCCACTTTCCTCCCAAACTCATCCTAAATCTCTTACACACTCGGGTGTTCCCAGCCCTCAAGCCAGCTCCTCCTCCGTTCATTTTCTGCACTCTCTTCGAAGAGCACCCCCCGGGATCACTCTCCGAGGGCGGCGTTTTGAGAAATATCCGTAGAGTAGTGGACCAGAGCTGGGGAGTTTTTAAAAGTCGAGGCGCGAGAAACAGGAAGGTACTATGGCTTCCTCGTCTGGCAACGATGATGATCTCACTATCCCAAGAGCTGCTATCAATAAAATGATCAAAGAGACTCTTCCTAATGTCCGAGTGGCCAACGATGCTCGAGAGCTGGTGGTGAACTGCTGCACTGAATTCATTCACCTTATATCTTCTGAAGCCAATGAGATTTGTAACAAATCGGAAAAGAAGACCATCTCACCAGAGCATGTCATACAAGGTAAGTCATGTGTGGGAATTGGTTTGAATGAGGGTCTAGGGGGACAGTCTGCTAATCGCGTGACCTGTTCGTGTCAAAGCCTTCATTCCTTTTCACTGGTATGTAACTTCATGAAAAAGCTAGACTGGCATGTAGGCAGCCGGTGCTTTAAAACACTCCTTTTGTAGCATTCTTGCAGTACTTTTCATCCAGCGAATACGCGGAAGGAGTGCAAACATTTAGGTCAACGTCCCCAAAACATAAAGAATAAGAGTGATCTCACTTTACAGCCAGGTAAGCCAAAGCAACAAGAATTGCTTGCCTGAAGTTGAATTTAGATAATAATTAAGGAACGCAGAAGTTCTCCTTTGGAAAGTTAAAATTCCGACAGAGGAACTTCAAGCTTGAGTGGAGACAGAGCATCCCTTCCCCACCTAACCTTTCGCCAATGTAGAGGAAAAGATTTATCTTCTGAACACATGAGTTAAAAGATTCTTAACATGCGATGTGTTCAACGTTGTCACGTTTATCGTTGTTGAATAAAAGGAGTATGTTTTCTGCTTTAAAAATGGTTTGATGGTACGTTCATGAATGAGCTACCAAAGCACTCACTCCTGTTCCATTCTGTAAGAAAAGGGTGAACTTTTAAATTTTTGTTTCTTCTTTTTGTTTGCTTTTATGTCTTTTGCTTTGTTCTGTTCTGTGGTGGTAAGTTTTACAATCTTGGATTGAAAGTTTATGTAAGTTTCGTTTTTTTTTTTTTTTTTTTTTTTTTTTTTTTTTTTTTTTTTTTTTTTTTTTTTTTTTTAACGGAAAATTTCCTTGTCCTTTCCTACTGTCATTACCATTTGAATGTATACACTTAAGCTTTTATTGAACAGCACTTCTGAAAGCTTCAACAGCTTCTTTTATCCTGGAAAGGATTTGGTCCTGTAATAGGGATTTGGGGGACTGTATTCTGATGGTTTCAGAGAGGAGAAAGATATTTACTAGTCATAATGTTTTGGGAATGTACCTTTTGCGATTTTTTTTTTTTTTTACATGTACTCTTGTGAAAGAGTTGTACTCAGTTTGAGGTGAGAACTTGCCTTTCGTAATCTAATTTAAAAGTATTGATTGCTTGTGAAATCAGGGAAAAAATGGTTAATTTTAATCATTTTGGTAGGCAGATAGTTGTCTATCACTTAATTTCTGTAATTTAACTTTTTAAAATGTGACTTTCCTGTTGTACTGAAGTAGAGAACACATCTGCTTATGTTGACCATATCCAATATTTTACTTTCAATATTGACAAAAGGATTAAGTGATTCATTTTTAATCCTTTATGATGTCTTGAGGGTGTTTTAAAAATATATCCTGCCCATTTCAGTCCATAGAAGAAAAATCCCTAGGAAAAAGCATATTTGATTCTTAAAACTAGTATTTTTTTTTTTTCTACTTGTTTGGAGTACTGAATACTCTAGCAAGTAAAATGAAAGCCAAGTTGTCTACTTTTTCTCTTGCGTATTTATTTTTACATTGTATGTGTGATTGCTGTCATAAGTCTTTCACAAGATTATCCAGCACAGATAGCTGAAATTTCTTTTTACAACTCATAAAAAGGAAAAAGAACCTTTTATCAACATTGCTTTTCTAATGAAAATTGCAGAAGATTTCAACAGGGTCTGCCTAAACATTTGTTTACACTACAGAAGTCGGGATCATTCCAAAAACCTAATAACATATTACAGTCTGTCTTCTTGGGGAGAGTTAATTCTTTTCTAGGATATATTTAGATTTCTGATTGACATGATGGAATAGAAGTGCAGCTGTAGCAAGCAGTATGCTAAATAGTTCAACTTTGGAATATGCTAAATGAAGTTTAACATGAGTCAGAAAGTTATAATGAAAAAGCATTTTCTTTGTGTAATGAAGATGATTTATTCATTTAAAAAAATCATGTATTGACCTGTTACAGTCTTATAAATTTACTTTTTTTCTTTTATTATGCTATTAAGTGGATAAGAATCTACATTTTCACCCAAGAATTCTCCCCAATTGGGGTTGTAGACGTTATACATTTGTAATCTCATATTGTTTAATTGTTCCAAAGAAGTTCTGTTTTGAGAGGATAAATTTTTAAAGAAATTCTTAAGATTTATATGTTTTAGGTGTTTGAAGTGTGTTCCTATATACAAATCATAATAGATATGACATATTTTATACTTTTCTGTCAGCATTGATTAGGAATGTAGAATATAGCCAAGTGGAATAAATGTACATTTTAAAGGGGTATGATTCTCACATGTTGGAAGTTTGGGTTTTAATGATAAGTTTAATGAACTAGACTTTGCTTCAGGACATTTCACTTGTTCATTTATCACCTTGTTTTATCTTGTCTGAGCAAATTAAGCATTTTGAGGTAGTTCTGTAAAATGCAAGTTAAAGTTAAACTAATTTTATCACCAGTAAATTTATGAAATAACTTAGTTTTTAAAAAAATTGGTTTCTGTTTAGCTTATTTTGAGTTTAAGAAAGTAGACTTGGTAGTAAGATCATAGACACATGAATAGAGCGAGTTCTGAGCTATTTTGTATTCCTATTTTGTTGGAGTGTTTTGTGAACATGTATTCTTGAATGAGTTCTAACATGTTCTGCTGCCTTATAGAAAGAATTGATATTGAGAGTCAAGAGCTGTAGGTTCTGCACTGACAATTCTTTAACTTTAGGCAAATCGTTTAAGGCTTTCTTATATAAAACTTGATTTCAGGTATTGTAATTTTTGAGAATTAGGGGTTGAGAACCTTACATGAAATATCTGCCCTCACATTTATGAGAATAGTAACTGAAAGTAGTAAAAGTTTGAAAGAGTATCTGAGAGTTTGCATCTTCAGCCATTGAGTTGCTCCAAGCTGTCTTATGTTGAAAGAGTTTTAAAAAAATTCCTGTCCTTCTCACACTGGTACCTTTGTAAGATAACATGAAAATGGATCACTAGAAAAGATGAGCAAAAGACCAACACTCCATTTTTTACTATTAGATTCAATAGACATAAAATTTTTTTGTCAAATTGCAGTGAAGGTACTTAAATGCTTTGACTTTCTATACTTAACTAATCCGTATCCATTAGGAGCAGTTCTAGCACAAGTCCATGGACCACACTTTGAGAAGCTTTGCTCTAAAGCCTGTTCCTGTTTTCCTTCAGCCACCCTACAATTACTTATTGAATACTACCAAGTACTTGGCATTGTGCTAGATACTATGAAGGATATTAAGATATATGATACTCAATTCCTTCTCTGCCATTCATCTCTCATTGTTATCCAAGATTCCCAGTAGTAATACCATGGAGGACATGATTCTTAAGGGTCTTCAGAAACCTCTGCGAGGATAATGAGCCAAGAAGTCACGTTGGCCTACATCCTCTTAATGTATTTTATGTGAAATACATTAAGCCCTTCCCTCCCACAAGCAAAAGAAAATGGTGAAATTAGAGAATGCTGCTTTATATAGTATTTAAAGGGTACTATATATCACATAATTTTAAAAATGAAAAAACATTTTATGCATATGAAGTATAAAGTGATTCACATAAATTTATGTTATGACAGAACTTTGCAGGAGTACATCACTTTGTAAAATAAGATAAGCATACATGAAGATTATTGTTGCTTAGGAGAAGTTTTTACTTTTTTTGTTATTTGAATAGCTGTCTTGTTAACATCTGTCTTTTAAGCTGAAAAATGTGCTAAGTATTTTTTCTCCTACATACACCATGGACTTTGCCGTTTGTGGTTTTAAGATACATGGCAGAGGGTGATATATAGTGATGTGTGTTAGTTTTACCCACAAATTTAAAAAAATATATTTTTCTGTTTTAGAAACATGAGATCCTTAGAATAGGGCCATCAATAGTCCATAAGTTCCCTTTGTACAAATTAGAAAAAGGCACTCCTTCCTTAAAAAGCATTGCTACTACTGTCTGCTAGAAAAAGTGTCACAGTAAACATACAAATTTATGATATTTACAATAAGAATGGTCCTCTAGTATGTTGTACTGAACAATCTATACAACCATAAATGGTGGCCCTGCTTGGTAGCCATTTCCTTTATTCTTTAATATTCTCTTTGCATAAAATGGGAATGATAACTAATGATAAAATGGGAATGATAGCAAAAGATGTAAAATATCTCCCTATTTAGAAGGTACTGTGGCCAGTTATTGATATCTGTTAGCCAAATGTGTTCAAAATTAAAGTCAATGAAATTTTTGAAGTTAAATTTATGGCTGCTCCTTTTCAACTATTTTACTGAGAGTATAGTTTTTACATATGGCAAGTCTTTGAATAATATTAAATATTAACCTTGGACCTACTTGCCAGTTTCTTGAAAGCAGTGTTCTCAGCCTTAAATATTTTTAAAGGTAGTTATATATTTTTTGAGTTTTTAAATTCAAGCCCTCCATGGTTAAAAATAGCTTGGATTGGATTTTCTTTCTTTAGTATTATTATTATTATTATTTTATTTATTTATTTTTGAGACAGAGTGATGTTCTATCAGGCTGGAGTGCAGTGGTGTGATCTCGGCTCAGTACAACCTCTGCCTCTCAGGTTCAAGTGATTCTCGTGCCTCAGCCTTCTGAGTAGCTGGGATTACAGACATGGGCCACCATACCTAGCTACTTTTTGTAATTTTTTTTTAGAGACAAGGTGTTGTCATGTGGGCCAGGCTGATCTCTAACTCCTGACCTCAAGTGATCCCCTTGCCTTGGCCTTCCCAAGTGCCGGGATTACAGGCATGAGCCACCATGGTTGGCTGGCTTGGATTTTCTTAGTGTCTAGTAGTTCATGCTATTTTGGAGGGTTGTCTCTCCAGTGTGTTGATTTGTTAATTTCATCAATTTAATTTTTTATCAATATGCTTGTCCAGCTTGAATTTAAATGTGATATTATATAGCTATACATTTATTTAGGTCCTATACACTTACAAGGGTACTCTTTTAAATTTTAAAAATAAAGATGAGTAATACATAGTCTGAGTTGGTTAAGTGATTCTAATGTGCTAGATGCTGTTAAATGCCTTATGTTAATTAACTGTTGATTCCCACAATCTTAAAACTAATAATATGATATCGATTTATTGTTTTTAATTTTTAAGAGGCAGGGTCTTGCTCTCTCACCCAGGTTGGAGTACAGTGCCACAGTCATAGTTCACTGTGGCCTCAAACTCATGGGCATAAGTGATTTTCCTGCCTCAGCCTCCCAAGTAGCTGGGACTACAGGCATGCACCACTGTGCCTGGCTAATTTTTAATTTTTTGTAGACACAGGGTCTCACTGTGTTGCCCACACTGGTCTGGAACTCCTGGCCTCAATCTGTCCTCCTGTCTTGGCCTCCCAAAACACTGAGGTTACAGGCATGAGACACTGTGCTCAGCCACAATGTGATAATAAATGTATAATATATTGCTCACTCTGTGGGACAAGCCTTTGTTCTGATCTCTTACATTAATTCATTTATTCACATCCTGATCCAATGAGATGTGGGTGCTATTGTTATTCTTTCTTAGAGGTGAGAAAACTGTGAGGCTCAGAAGTGAAGGGTCACACAGCTAATATGAAGCAGAGTTTGGAGTCAGTCCCTGGCAGTTGGCTTTAAGGCCTGCATGCTTAACCACTGTACTTGCTCCTGGTTGTAGGAAGCTATTATGAAATGGATGCTATTCTCATTTTATAGAGGGAAAAACTGAAGCTTAGACATATTAAACAATTGATCCAAGGTTTTACAAATACTGTGTCAACCAAATTTCAGTTCTAGGTCTATCTCATCTAAAAAGGGGAGATTATGTCTGTTTGGAAGGATCAAGCAAGCTTAATTTGAAGATGGGTTTAATCTGTGCCTTGAGTTTATTGCCATCAACATGAATGTGAGAAACTGGCTCCTTGAGAAATGTTGAGCAGTCATATTTAGCAGAAGTATGCAGGGATTTAATGGCAGAAATAAAGCTGGAAAATTAGCATGGCCTAGATCTTGGATGACTTTGGTATAGGACTAGGAAATCAGACTTTCTTTAGAATATGGTGGGAAACCATAAACCATTCACTTGGGTTTTTTTGGTATTGTCTCCAGCCAACCTTGTTAAAATTTTCTATGTAGTAGAAAAGATTTTTAAAAAGAAAAAAGATAATAGAAAAACGTTGGCTTCTATCATTGACACTTAAAACAATAAATCAGTCTGTCAATTCAAATGAAAAATACAGGCTGCCTAGTTGTCACTTATTTTCCCATTATATCTCAAACTCTTTGAAGCCAGAATTATATGTTGGTGAATTTGATATACAGAACTTAGATTAACGCTTTTCTGAAGTTTTTAGGGAGGTCAGGGGAGATGAGTTAACTTATTAATAGTACAGTACTCTGCTTTTTGGCATCAGGTTATTTCTAAAGAAGGTTGATAAAAACAGCTTAACATTGGAAATAATTAAAGTTGTAAATCATTCAAAATGTCTTAAAACAACAGTTTGCATGGGCATGTGGATTTGTAAAGGTATATTTGGCATTCTCTCAGAAGAGCAAATCCCTGAAGTTAGAAGTGAGAGCATATATGCTAAAAGCAATCTAATTCAACATAATGATTGAAAGACTACAAGAACTGATGAGGTAAATTGATTTACTGTGTTTTTTACCACCTATGTTTCGTCATTGGTTCACAATACAAAATATTCCTTTAGGACATTAGTCAACATACCAAAACTATAAAATATACTATGAGCAGGAAATTTTATGCCTTGTCTTTTCTGGGTTACAGAAGGTATTTAGAGTGTGTGATTTATTTTTTTATTTTTATTTTTTTGAGATAGGGTCTTGCTGTGTCATCCAGGCTGGAGTACAGCAATGTAGTCATGGCTTACCACATCCTCAATCTCCTGGTCTCGTGCAATCCTCCCGCTTCAGCCTCCTAAGCAACTGGAACCATAGGCATGAGCCATCACACCCAGCTAATTTTTTTATTTTTTTGTAGAGATGAGGTCTTGCCATGTTGCCCAGGGTGGTCTTGAACTCCTGGAATAAAGGGATCCTCCCACCTTGGCCACCCAAAGTGCTGGAATTAAAGTCACGAGCCACCATGCCCAGCCCATTTTTTTTCCTATAAAATTTCCTTTCTAAATATGAAAAGGGGAGAAAAAATTTTATTAATGCTTCTTGTATCCTTATAGTCTTCTTTCATCTCAGTTTTTCTGCCACATCATTTTAAAATGTTTTTATTTTTTCTGTTAAGTTTTGTTTTCAAGAGAAACCTTGATGGCTGACTGTAAGTGCTGAATTTCATGACTTATTTCCACCAGTATTTGGTATCTGCTAAAAATAGCCTCCTGTTGGTGTGTTGGACAAAAGAAAAACTCATCTGTCCTTTTATTCTGTCCTACTGAAACTTAGTAGAGAATGTGTTACCAGCCTACTTTTTCTAAGTCAAATGACACAAAGGGTTTTTTCTTACTAAAACCGTATGTTCTTATATTGGGCTTTTTTTTCCTCCCAGTTACAGGAAATGCTTTGGTCTTTTAAGAATTAGTCAGAATGAAAAGTGAAGGCATGTGCCTTGGTTCCTCAAGTTTTAACTGATTTGCCACCTAATATTTAGCAGGTTGATAAAATACTTGTCTTGCTGCCCAGACAACTGTTGTACAACTATAAAATAGGTACAATTATTAGAAAACAGCAAAACATTCCCCTCCTACAAAGAAAAACTCAGAAAAACTTTGTGATCCACAGGTTGGAGGAAAGCTGTGTTTTATCACCCTTTCATATTTTAATATTTTCATTTCTCTAGCACTAGAAAGTTTGGGATTTGGCTCTTATATCAGTGAAGTAAAAGAAGTCTTGCAAGAGTGTAAAACAGTAGCATTAAAAAGAAGAAAGGCCAGTTCTCGTTTGGAAAACCTTGGCATTCCTGAAGAAGAGTTATTGAGACAGCAACAAGAATTATTTGCAAAAGTAAGTAATGTATTTAAATTATTTTCTTTTGAATCCTACCCTGTTTGCTTTTGAAATTGCTTCCTAAATTAACAGACATACACTGAGGATTCCCTTTTTCTAGCTAATTGATTATAGAATCTAGTATTCAGAGCTGACCAATTTGACTCTGGTTTATGTGAAAGTAAATGTTTGCAGCAGTCTGTTTTCTAAAGAGAACAACTCCAAATACCCATTGAAATTTCACTTTGATATCTTTTTCAGACAGAATGACCATTTTAAAGCATGAAAAGTATACCTAAATATTCTTAAGATTTAAAATGATGAGCTGATGAGAAAATACTATGCAGATTTTATGATCCATGGCATACAAGCAAAATCTGATTAATGTCAACTGTGTAGTTAAATATGGTCTTTAATATACACCTTTGAAGCATTTTACTCTTAAAAAAAATCTTAAGGATAGTAGAGCAAAGAAAGGGAGAAAATGTCTTCTTCTTTTCTTGTTATAATTCTAATATCTAGTCTCTGATGGATTAAAACCAAGTACTAATATTTCTTGTTTCAAAAAGAAAAGAGAGAGGAATTGGTTGCAAGGCTGTTTTTTCCCTTCTCAGTTCTGGCCTCTCGTGAAATTATAAGGCAGCTTTGGAGTGAATAGAAGAGAAGCTGTAGTAACCATTAGAACTGGGAAGCATCATTTTAGATAAACTCTTCCAGATTAGTCCTGTAGCTGATCTCTCTGCAGCTATAACAGTCAGTTTGGTTTACATCAAAGTGCATTTGAGTCTTAAGTATTGTTAGTCACTAGATACCAAGTACCATTTAAACTTATGAGAAAATAAAAACTTAAATTTATTGAGTTCTAACCATATGTTAATCACATTGCCAAGTAATTTAATTGCATTATCTCATTTAATCCTCACAACAACCTATCATAGGCACTAAAGAGGAAAAGCCTTGAAGCAGGCATGAGTACATGCAGTATTATAATCCATATGAATATGAGGTACGGAAGAAGAGGTGTTGATGTTTTAAAAACATTAATGGCTATTTATTGATTTATGCGGTTGCAGACCACCTAGAGAATGCTAAATTAAACATTTAGTGACAGAAGATGCTCTCCTGGATACTTTAAATACATAGAAACTTTGCAGAGTTTTTGTGAAGTATACATTTTATTGTATTCATTTACATATTAGGAAATAGACTCAGAGTTGGAAAAATTTGCTTGGAATTATTTTTCATTTGTTCTACAGTTACTTACTGAAGTCCTCGCAATTTATCAAGCATCATGCTAGGTGCTAGGCTTACAAGAGTGAACAAGAGAGTCAAGGTTCCTGTCGTTATTTAGTCTACTGGGAAAGATTGAGTGGGAAAGATTGACCTAAATAAGACAGTAAGTTCAGAAAGTTAGGAAGTGTTGGAATCTATATTTAAACTTATATATTTTGACCCCAAAGCCTGTACTGTTTCTACAATACCATGCTGATGCTCTAGCCTCCATTTTATCTGCTTAAACTTATTATAGGGCTTTTAAATAGAATATGCATTATCCTTGCCAGGGAAAAATTTGAGGAAATAATTGACTGCCTGCCATACCTGTCTTCACTTCTCTATCCCTATTACCTGTTTTTTATTTTTCTTTTTTATCTCCCCTGTTTCTTACCTGGCTTATGTGTGAAGATCTCTAGTATTTCTTTGCTCTGGTGAGGATGAGAAGCAGAGAGGTAAAATTATAGCAGTTGCCCAGTACTTCTTTCCTAGAGCACTAAAGTTCTAAACATGAAAGAATGGATAAGTAAATATATCATTTTTATCACTTTCATTTTGTTTCATTTTTTAGATTTTAAATGTTAACACAATAACAGCCTAAATGAAGGTAGCAGCAAATATTTGGAAGGAGGGAACCTTTAATACATCAAGATTAAAGTTAACTTTAAATTATAAATGAGTCATTTTAATATGTGGGAGTGAGAATCTTAAAACATAATGAAAACCTCCAAAGGAAAAGTGAATTAGGAAATATATGCCTATTTACCGTCTATCACACCCCAATTTTAAAAAAAAAAAAAAAAAAAAAAAACAAACCTGGGTTGGATTGAGTAGAGAGCAAGAGAGAAAAAAATACATTAGAGTAAATATCACTGAAAAATGTTCGATTTGTGGAAATAAATACAAATAAAATTTTATCATCAACTTTTTTTTAAAGAGACGGGAACTTAAAATGTTGCCCAGGCTGGAGTACAGTGGCTGTTGACGGGCTCAATCAGGCACACTTCAGCCTAGAACTCCTGGGCTTAAGGGATCCTCCTGCCTCCACCTCACGAGTAGCTGGTACTATAGATATGCACTAGCAAGCCCAGCTCAACAGTTAGTTTTAAAGGCTTAGAAATGCTTTTATGTTTAGAGAAAAGTATGGGAGCTGATACTGGGCCATGGTGCCTAAAAGTCAATTAAATTTGAAATGTAACTAAGACACAGCTTTGCAGATCATTGAATAAACTACCAAATTGAATAAACTACCTTTGCAATAAAACCTCTGTAGAGACTTGAAATTATTTGAATTTTTTTCCATGTCATAAAATTATACTTATTTGTAGTTGATTAGGCCACAAAGGATAGGTATGCTTAAGTTGGTTAAATTTACATATTTGATTTGCCCTGCAATTTTCTTATGAACTCTAAAAATGTTTTTAGAGAAGCTCTGTTAGTTGGTTTTGAACTCTTTGGGTATTTCTGCCATAAAAGTAAATATGCCAGTGTGTTAGAATCAACTATTTTTCGTATTTCTTTACAAAAATAGATGATAGTCATTATTAGGGAGAATGGCTGATTTCTAATTTCCTAGGCAAAAGAAAGTTTTGCTTACTGTAAAAGTGGTCTTATCCTTGTTTTTTCTAATACCTTTAGTCTTTACTTATTTATTCCTCTGTGCCTTTAACGATATATGGGTCTTCTTTTTTTTTTTTTTTTTTTTTAATAACTCTGAGGCATTTTATTATAAAAAGCTAGTACTCATATACATAAAGTAATATGTACTTAAAATTCATGATACATTTACTTCATTTTTTAGCTTGACCTTCTAGTAGATCTTTAGCTTCACTGATTTTGGCTGCTATATAAGGAGATCCTCCTTTGTCAGGATGATTTAAAAGCATAATTCGTCGGTGAGCATCTCTTATTTTCCCTTTATTGGCAGTAGGGCTTACACCTAGTATTAATGCTGCTTCCCACGTTGTCATTTTGGGTTCAAACCCACCTCTGGAAAAGCCACCACTGAAGGCAGATTTTGGTAGACTTTGAAAAACTTGTTTTACTTGAGGCTCCATATGCTTCATGGCTTGCAAAACATAACGGCCTGCAAATCCTGCAGCTGCAATGGTCAGTCCAACTGCTACCATTGTACTGGCCATGGCTGCTGCGACTGGCTTCCCTCGCTTCCACCGGAAGCCCGGCTCATCCCAGCGCACAGACCGCGGCGGACGCCCGCACGCCCCAAGCAGGATATATGGGTCTTCTGCATCTCCTTGTGTCCCGCAAACCCTTTCATTTTTTGCTGTAATTATCTGTGTTACCCATCAGGCAAGGTGGCAGCTTCCTGTAGTCGCAGCTACTCGGGAGATCAAGGCAGGACAATCCCTTGAGGCCAGGAGTTCAAGGTTGCAGTGGATAGCAATTGTGCCTGTAAAGTACTTTAGCCTGGATAATGTTGTGAGACCCTGTCTCTAAATAAATAAATAATGATCAGTGTTATTATTTTTTGAAAAGGTACAACCACTTATTTCTCAAATTTAACTTCTGCTCTACCGCAGAAACATTTAATCGCCAAATTCAGTAATTTTTTTTCCTTTCAATTCTTACTCATCTGATTTTAAAAAAATAACATTTAATGTAGAACTCTTCCTATATTAGTCTCTGATACTATGGTTACTTGGATAGCTTTCCCCAAAGATAATAACTTTTCTTCTTCTACTTCACTACTGCCACCTACACCAGCACTACCCCACTCCTAACCATCAATCAACAAATTTCAGGTCAGAATTCAATTAACATGTCCCTACTGTATGCAAGACATGTGGTACTGTAGATATACAAAAATGAATATATCATTATTCTTTATTTATTTTTTATTTTTATTGTACTTTAGGTTCTGGGGTACATGTGCAGATCATGCAGGATTGTTGCATAGGAAAACCGACGTTTTCTGTTCTTGTGTCAGTTTGCTGAGAATGATGGTTTCCAGATTCATCTGTGTTGCTACAAAGGACACAAACTCATCGTTTTTTATGACTTCATAGTATTCCATGGTCACATTTTCCTTGTCCAGTCTTATCATCAGTGGACATTTGGGTTGGTTCCAGGTCTTTGCTATTGTAAACAGTGCCACAGTGAATATACGTGTGCATGTGTCTTTACTATAGACTGATTTATAATCCTTTGGGTATATACTCAGTAATGGGATTGCTGGACCAAATAGAATTTCTATTTCTACATCTTTGAGGAATTGTCACACTTCTTCCATAATGGGAATATATCATTCTTCTTAAGAAACTTAGTATCTAGTAGGGGAGGTATAGCACAGACACACTGACATCTATTTTGAGACGGACTACTTGGATGAAGAAGACAACTATAATACGAGGCTGACCAATTATTAGAAAAAGATTCTGGCTGGGCATAGTGGTTCACATCTGTAAACCTAGCACTTTGGGAGGCCCAGGTGGGAGGATCACTTGAGCCCAAGCAGTCAAGACCAGTCTAGGCAATATAGTGAGACCCTGTCTCTACAAAAATAAGAAAGAAAAAGAAAGAAATCCCAAGTATGGGAACATTACGTCAAATTTTGGAGGTGCAGGAGTGTGCCAATTAGTATGCAGTTGTCTTATCCCCAGACCCACCTTTCTGTGCTCTGCTTTGTGACTGGACCTAATACTGTGCAAGCCATATGTCTCTTTGCTAGCTGACTCCCCATGAGACTCTTGCCAGAATGGGGTTCTAGAAGGAGATTGCATGGATGGAGGAAGAAAAAGGGCTTACTCCTTTTATTTCCCTTTGTCTTTTAGTTCCTTTGAACAACTCAGCAACACTTCTTCATTCTGGTTGCATCAGTTTTCCTGTAGCAGAAACTGAATTCAGTTTTCATTTTCTCTAATACACGACCAGCCTGAACCCACACCCCATACCCCGACTCTGGGGATGTGGATGCCAACCCTTGGGGCCCTTCTTCAAGCCCAGATATATTTGTACCAGCTTATCTATGTCCATCCTTCCAAGGTCTGAGTTTCAGTTCCATGAAGTGGTTTCTTTAATTTGTAGATTTTAAAAATTGCAGCATTTTCCTTTGTTCCCTCAGTTTTGAGGTTGGTGGCTGCTTCCTGTGGCTGCTACTTTCATGATATTTTGCTGTTCTCCTCTTGCCTTTTCACTTGCCTAATAGCAACTTTATACTTGTTTAACAATTCTTTATATTATCTTTTTTCCATTCCAGTAACTCGTCTGACTTCTATCTCCTGATTATACACTGACTGATATACCACGAGGAGAAAATAGTATTTCAAGGAAGGTTAGATTTTCAGTAAATGGCAGGAAATTTCACATAGGATGAATGTCAGCATGAGTAAAGGTAGCAAAGATGAGGCAGTATGGTGTATATTTGGGAAACATTTTGTGTTCTAGGCTTTTTTGAAACACAAAGTACATGTTACAAAGAAAGTTTGTAGAGAGGTTGGAGTAGACACTAATTTGGAGGACTGAACTCTAGGCTAAGAAATTTGGATTTGGTTGGTAACAAACGATTTAAAAAAAAAAAAGAAAGAATGACCTGATTAGAATTTATATCTAGAAATATTTGGATAATAAGTCATGACAGATTATTCAGAAGAATGAGGATTGTACATGGTAAAATCTTAAATGTTACAGGTTATGCTGAGCATCACTGTTTTCCCGTAGTATGTTCATTCAGAAAATATTGAGGGCCTTTGTGTTAGCAATGAAACAAAGAATATGGAAACAATCTCTATTCTCAAGTGTGGTGGAAACAAAAGATATAAACTTAGATAATTCTAGAACAAAGTGGAGGGATATGGGAATGCATGGGGAATTATGGTATATGAAATAGAGCATAAAATGTGGCCTAGAAAGGTCAAGAAAGACTAATTGATTTGCATTTCAAATGATGACTAGGAATTAGGGGAGGGTATGAGCTAGACTTAAAGAACAATTGCAAGAACAGACAGAAGGAGGAAAAGATTGTTTTGGTCTTATAATGGGAATTTATAAGACCTTTTTAAGAATAGGTTCATTTTTTCCCTTTTTGGTGTAGTTTTTCTGCAAACAGATGAAATTAAATTGAGAAGGAGCCTTAGCTGTTTCATATGTAATTCATATGTACGCATCTTGGTTTCTAAAATCCTGTGGTGGTTTTTAATAGAGGATATATCAGATGAATGAATTTTAAGTAGTATCTTTTTACTAGTGTATATACAGGAAGGATATGTATATTTGTATGTGTATCTGTGTATTTACAAATGTGTGTACTTACAGAGAGGGAATGAGGGACACAGAGAGACATATAGTAGGTTAGAGAATTGTAATAGAAGCTCAGAAAGAAAAAAATAAGAAACTCAAAGAAATACCAGGGCAGCTACTGCGTACATGTACAGTACTTCTTTCCTATGAGGTACTGTACTAGAGAACTTTTAAACCATATAAATAAATTTTAGATTGAAAAATGTTTATATCAAAATTATAATTTGAGGGTACAGAAGAATCAAGTGAAATGAAGGGAATAAAAAAGTACAGGGAAAGAGCCACAGGAAATATTGTAGGTTTTTGTCAACTTTTTCAACGTCTTCAGTTGAACCAAAGGTCATAAATTACATGACATGAAAGGGGACCATTTATAAGATACTCAAGTTTGAGAAATTTCTTAGACCTGTGTTGGGTTAGAAAAAAAGTAATCTGTAATTATATTTACCTGCAGAGTTTATGTTCTCCAGATATGTGACAATTACATAGTAGTTTGAAAATATCCAAGTATGATAATAATTGTCTGTAATACTGGCCTAATCTACATCTAACCAAAGTGTATATATTGCGAGTTTTTTTAAAAGACTTTTTTTTTTTGGGTGTTTAGGCTAGACAGCAACAAGCAGAATTGGCCCAACAGGAATGGCTTCAAATGCAGCAAGCCGCCCAACAAGCACAGCTTGCTGCTGCCTCAGCCAGTGCATCTAATCAGGCAGGATCTTCTCAGGATGAAGAAGATGATGATGATATCTGAAATTCACCAGCTGAGTTTCTATTTCTTCTATAAATGTTTTTCCCTGCACAACAAAAACAGTGAAAGAAATGCTTACCTGTAATTTTGTATGCATCTTGGTGGACTTGTCATTGGTATTCTAGGGATGTCTGCTATTGAGTTTCATCTCTTGTGTGCTATACATGTAAAAACTGTCTCTTTGAACTATTGAAAATTTAAGGTTCAGTATAATATCAATTTTGAATTTTTAATGGTGTTTATGAAATTTTAGATAGCGAGTCCTTCATTTGATCAATAAACAGTGTTACAGAAAACTTCAAGTTTATAAAAATACAGTGAAATTTATACAAAGCTCTAAATCCGCATTTGCATTTCCTCTGCCCTTTTAACTAAACTAAAACTTATGAATTTTAAATTATTAAGGGGGGGTGCTGTATGAATCAGTAGTCATTGGATCAGGTTGCTGAAAAGTGTTCAGTTCTGTAGTATCTGAATTTGTCTTTTAAAATGAGTACATATATAGGCAATAAATATATATGCTCAGATAAACTTGTTAGAAAAACTTCAAGACATTCAAAAACTACGGAGTATGTTCAATAGTAGTTGTATAAATTTGGTGGTTATGTTTTTTTATTTTGTTTTTGTTTTGTGTAGAGGTAAAAACTATAGTTTTATTACAGCATAATTCATTTTGAGCTCCACTATGACATTTCAGAGACTGCCCAGTTTAAAAGTCTGTCATGATTTTTACTATTTCACTCCAATTCAATAATTGTTGATAGTATTACTTGCCTAGTTCATCCATACTCATATTATTCAAATATGTAGGTGGGACTTTTGAAACAATTGCTTTGGTTCCCTTGGTTTAACAGAGGTTCATGAATATTCAAACCTTTGCTGGGGGAAAGAAATGAAAGTTAATGAGAATGCTTGCTATAAGAGAGGGATTTTTAATTTAACTTGTAGTTACAGTTTACTTATTGTTTTTAGAATTACTTTTACATTTTCCTGACTAGATAGCCTAGAGTCCAACGTTACCTTTTGAGATGACATTATTGTCTCCATCATAATTGAGTGATAGCTTTAAAAAAGGATTAGTTTTGCTTAAGAAGTTATGTTATAACTGATCAGCGCTATTTGAAATAACTGATCAGCCCTATATGTAATATAAGTTGTGTTATAACTGATCAGTCCTATATGAAACATCAATAGTTTCTACCTGCTTGTTAAAAGACAGAAGCTTTAATTTGGCTCTAATAAATAAAGTATGGTAGTGATTATAGGAATCCAGGATGTTGAAGAAATGGTATCGTGTCTATATTTTGGAAATAGAAAGGAAGAGACACTTAAGATAGTATGAAGTAATTATATTCCTATGTCAGTTGCCAAATCTTTTAAACTTATGTATTCACCAAGCCCAAAAATAGCTTGTGGCTACCAGGATTCCAATTTTAATTGGAGAGCTAAGCAAGTAAAGTTTTATAAGTATTAGGTTTCTTAATGATCATATTTTGCAGTTTTAGTAAAAGGGAAATATTGTTATACATTTATTAAATATACTTCCCCCATGAAGTGAAAAGGTTAATTTTGCTGAATGTTTTAAGTTGAAGTTACTTCATGGATGTCATATCCATGAAGTGCGTTTGGATGAGATAGAAGAAATTGTTTTTTACAAAGTTTAAGTACCAAAGGTAGTCTAGCTTAGAACAATAATAAGTTAATACATGTTGGCTTTTCTAATTTGTACTGTAACATCCTTATACTTTCTATTTTAAGTATATCTGTTTCTTAAGTAAACAACTTAGATATTTTCCATAACTTTTTTTTTCTGATGCAGAGTTCAGGTTAATTAATATTTTACTGCATCTGATAATGTATTATACGTTTGAAGCCTAGTGACGTTTCATTTTGACATTCTTGTGATTTCNTCTGATGCAGAGTTCAGGTTAATTAATATTTTACTGCATCTGATAATGTATTATACGTTTGAAGCCTAGTGACGTTTCATTTTGACATTCTTGTGTATTCTTCAAGCAATAAAATTGTGATGTGTTTTATAAATGGTTTTTATATTTAATGATTTTTGAGAGATTTCTATTTACTATTTTTACTAGTTTCAAAAATCTTAGGCCCAAAAGACATTTTGGTATGTAGTACCTGCCTTTTGTTTTTGTTTACTATTATTTCAAAAAATGTGGTTTTACTTGTGTTTTTGTAATTTACAGTCATAAGATCGAGGCATAACAAAGCTGCTTAAGCAATATTTTACTTTTAGGTTTTCTTTTCCTTTTTTTTTGGAATTAAAAGTCACTATTAACGTTTTGCCAGTTAACATTTTTTTAATCTTTTGAAGAGAGAAACAAAATCGTTAGCGTTCTTGAGAAATAAAGTTATTATTCCTTAAGTATTTTTCCATCCCCTTGAATATATGTTATATATCTTTTTCAGCAGATTACCAGATTAATAAGTGCTGAAAAGCCATCAGTTTTTAAAGCTGCATATACCACACACACAGAACAGTGCACAAATAAAGGTTTTCACAGATTAAGCAAACTGATATCATCAGTCCTCAGATCAAAACACAGAGCATTATGTGTACCCAGAAGCCTTCTTCTTGCCCCATCTTAACACTTTTTTCTTGCTGAAAGTAACTACTATCCTGACTTCTAAAATCATAGACTAGTTTTGCCTGTTTTTTATTTTATGTAAAAGCACTCATATATAGTACAGTCTTTTTTACATTCATCATTTTTGTGAATATTTTAGTTTCTTGTTGCCACTATAGCAAATTACCACAAACTTAGTGATGTAAAACAACACAGATTTATTCTTTTATAGTCCTGGAGATCAGAACTCCAAAAATCAGTTTCATTAAGCCCGAATCAAAGTACCAGATGTGTTGGTTCTTTCTTGAGGTTGTGAGGGAGAATGTTTTCTTGCCTTGGTTGGCTTCTAGTGACTGCCTATATTTATGGGCTTGTGACCCCTTTCTCTCTATGATCAATGCCAGCTTTTGTCATTATATCATCTTCCCTTCCGTAGTCAGTTCTTTCCCTGCCTCTACATTTAGGGCTCACTTGCATAAGGCGGGGATAATCCCCCTATCTCAAGATCCTTAATTTAATCATATCTACAAAATCTTTTTTACCATTTAAGTGACATTCACATGTTCCAGGGATTCAGACCCTGGCTATCTTTGGACGCCGTTATTCAACCTACCAAAGTGAGATTCATCTTTATTGTTGCATGTATTTGTAGTTCATTCATTGTCATTGCTGTATAGTCTTCCATTTATTTATCCATTTTTTATTATGTCCAAAAGTATTATTCATTCTCCCATTGATAGTCATTTGAGGATTTTTCAGTTTTGAGCTATTATGAGTAGTACTGTGGAGAACATCCTTATACATGTCTTTTGGTGAGTGTATACATTTCCGTTGAGTATAAACCTACGAATGGAATTGCTAGGCTGTAGTGTGTGTGTATTTTCAGCTCTAGCATTTACTGTCAAAGTTTTCCAAAATGACTGTAAGCAGACACCATTTTAATGTGTAGCATAATAATGAATTACCCTAATGAGCTTAGTGGATTGAATTTCTCAAAATACCTAAATTGTACTAAATGAGTTATACTACAGCAGGTATGTTGTTATTTAATTTCGTATAGGAGGAAAATAAGAGCAAAAGTAATTGCCCTTATTACTGACATATTAGTATTACATACTCATTAGGTTATTGCTCCTTAGAAAAAAAATGCAGATTTTAAGTAATCATAAGTAGTATGTTGAATTAGTATGTTGTGGGAAAATCTGTGATTTAATTTTTTAGTTGAATTTAAAATTTTTGGTTATAACCTCATTAAAATGCATATTTTCTTATATAGGTTTCTAAATTATGTCTGTCCAACTCATCTATATCTAAATCGTCATCAGGAAGAATTATCCAATCCAGATGGCATAGGCACTGCCCTCCACTGTCTTCACTTGGATTTTTTTGTTGCTGTTTTCTTCTTTTCCTCTGTCCCCAACAATTTGACCACAAGTCCTATCCCACCTCCTGAATTTTTCACCATGGCCCAGGATATGTTTTTCACCATGGCCCAGGTCATGGTTAGGATTGGCCAGGGTGAAGCGAATGATGATATATAAGTAGCTTCCTTTCACCTAAGTTGTTACCACTGGTTCTTATCCTATTTCCTCAAAACAAATGAGAAGAGAAAGTAAGGAATAAGAAGAAGAAACTTTTTTTTTTTTTTTTTTTTTAAGAAACAGGGTCTTACTATGTTTCCTAACATAGATTGCAGTGGCTAGATTCCAGTGGCTATTCACGGGCATAATCATAATGCATCATAGCCTCAAACTCCTGGGTTCAAGCAATCCAAAAGGAGGAAACTTTTAACTTATGATCAGTTTCCACCATAAATCAAGCAACTTAGAAAAACCTTAGAACAGGGTTTCTCAAAGTAAGCATTTTGTTAGCATTTTGGGTTGGTTAAGTTTTTGTTGTGGGAGCCTATCCTGTGCATTGTAGGATTTCTAGCAGCATAATTGGCTTATACCCACTCAGTGTCAGTAGCACCACTCCCCACCCTACTTCCAATTGTGACAACCCAAAAATGTCTCCAGACATTGCCAAATGTCCCTGGGTGTTGCGGGGATAGGAGGCAAAATTACCCCTTGTTGAAAACCACCACCTTAGATGATCCAGGTTTTACTTTTAGGATAGGACACTTGAGGGAAAGGCTGTAAAACTGAACCTCCGTTAGAAGCAACACACAGTGTCACTGGAAAAAGACTAAAAGAAACAGGTGATTTGGAGAGAAGAGGCCCAGGATTAAAATGTGTTTTCAAGAAAGTCAAACCTTATAGGAGGCTTCTTGACTTCTGCTGATCCCTTCATGCCATAGGACCTAGTGCAGCTATTATAAATCTCTCTACCTGCTTGCTGCTTTTCTGCCTCATTGTTAGCCATACTCAGTTTGAAACAGATGAGGTATACTGTCTCATAACTAATGCATCTTTTAATAAGCATTTTTTTATTGTGGTTAAATATGGATATCGTAAAATTTACCTCTTTAACCAGTTTTAAGTGTTCAGATCTGTGGCATTAAGTGTATTCATACTATTGTGCAACCACCACCACCATCCAGGTACAACATCTTCCCAAACCGAAATTCTGTATTTATTAAACAACTCCCCATTACCTCTTCTCTTCCCCAGCCTCAGCACCATTTTGCTTTCTTTCTCTATGAACTGACTACTCTAGATGTCTAAATGGGTTCATTCTTATTTCATTTACCGTAATGTCTTCAAGGTTCATTCATGTTGTAGCATGTATCAGAATTTCTTTCCTCTTAAAGGCTGAATATGCCACTGTATGTATTTATCATATTTTGTTTATGCTTTTGCTTTTTAGCTTTGTGAATAATGCTCCTGTGAACATGGGTATACAAATAGCTGTTTGAATCCTAATAGGCTTGTTATTTTTGAGTGCACAGATCTGTATATTCACAATTGAAATAGGGAACATCTTTATATACATAGAAAGGTAATTTATATTACAGTAAGTCCTCAGTGTTGTTGATAGGTTCTTGGAAACTGCAAGTTTAAGGAAAACAACATATAATGAAAGCAATTTTACCGTAAGGGAATTGATATAAATAAGAGTTAAGTTCCTATGGCATATTTCTGGTCAAAAAACATTACCGAATTTCTAATAAAGACCCAGAACACTTCTAAAATTAAACCTTAAAATTAATGTGAGCTATATATACATTTAAAAAGGATAAAAACAAGTAAGAATTGGCTGGGCATGGTGGCTCACACCTGTAATCTTAACACTAGGTGATCGAGGTGGGCAGATTGCTTGACCTCAGGAGTTCAGAACCAGCCTGAGTAACATGGTGAAACCCCATCTCTACCCAAAAAAAAAAAAATAGAAAAATTAGTCAGGGGTGGTGTCTTGCTCCTGTAGTCTCAGCCACTTGGGAGCCTGATATGGGAGGATCCCTTGAGCTTGGGAGGTCAAGGCTGCAGTGAGCCATGATCATGCCACTGCACTCCAGTACGGACAACAGAGCAAAATCCTATCTCGAAAAAACAAACAAAACCATATTATTCAGCCCCAATTGTTTATGGTGTTGTTATTGATAGACCCTGCATTAAGCAATCACACAGTGCTGCAGTCAGCTGTAATGGTGCCACTGCATTCCAGCCTGGGTGGCAGAATGAGATCCTATCTCAAAAAGTAAAAATTATTTACCCAATGTTTATTGAGTCAATGAGTGACAGTGGTTGTAGTAGTAGCGGTGTTTGGAAAGTGAAAATTGTAAGGAGCACCTCCTACCACCATGCAGTTCAAAAACAAAAAATAAGAAATATGGTAGGCTGGCTGAGTGCTTTTATACTGCATCATGTATTGTGCATTTGTATGATTACCATATACTTTATAAATTTTTATTTTATAGTAATTTGTATTCATTCATTTTTCAACCTGCTTATTTCAGTTCAGTGTCTCAGGTAGCTGGAGCCTATCCCAGCAGCTTAGGGAGCAAGGCGGGCACCAGTCCTGGACAAGATGCCTTTTCATTGCAGGGTGCACTCACATACCACACACACCCGTAATGGGATGATTTAGCTTTACCAGTTCACCTAACATGTGCATATTTGGGGATTGAGAAGAAACCAGGGTATGCAGAAAAAACTCAGGCAGGTATGTGGAAGATGTGCAGAATTCACACAGGCAGTGGTTCTGGTTGTAAATAGTCTTTTTTCATCAACATTTTAATGAAATGACATTAGTTGAGGACCTGCTGTATGTGATATGAACAATGAAGATCAACTCTTTTTGTAATAGTTTTTTACATATATATTTACATATATCTTACATATTTTTACGTATATATTTTACATCTAATACATATATCTTTTTTATATGTTTTTTTTAATTTGTTCATTTCCTCTGTGAGGGTAAGTACTGATAGTTCAGAGTCATAGACTGGTAACACAGGCATGCCATTAAAAATAATAGACATATAGTATGCAATATTTTATTTTACTTAGAAACTCCATATTTTATGTATAATGTACTGAGTATGAAGAATAGTACATACTGTTTCCTTTTGTTTCTTGCCTTTGTATATTTTATATGAATAGCATTGCCACCAACATAGAAGGTAGTAGAGGTGGAAGAGGAAGACTTGCCAGAATAAGTTTTTAATGTGAATGAGAGATTTTTATTAGGAATTGGGAGTGGAAGGAGAGAGAAAGTATTAGAAAGTATGTGTACAGCGAAGGATGGAGAAACTGTGCTTGTTGTTAAAGCATCTAAGGATCCTCCAATTACTGGGGAAAACACACCAGGCTCAAAATGGTCTGATTATGCAAATACCTTCTTCTAATAAGTGTTTCTTTTGTTGTGCCTATAAAAGATGCCATTAACTTCATATTTATGTCACTAATAAACTTCTAGAATCCATATAGTAGGTTATAGTAGTGTGGTTAAGCGTTAAGAACAATGATATTTATTTCTGAGACACTTATTTGGTATATTACATAGAATAGAGTATGTTTTCTAAGCCTAATAGTGTTAGGTTTTCATATGCAGTTGCCTTATGCATATACTACTAGCCCTTACAAAATTTAGTCTGTCTTTATTATAAACATGTTGTGAGGAAATTCAGATTCCAAGAAATTAAGTACAATTGGCCCTCTGTGTCTGTGGGTTCCACATCCATAGATTCGACCAACCATGGAATGATGGATTGAAAACATTTGGAGAAAAAAACAAAATAATAAGCCAACAAGGAAATAATACAAATTTTAAAAACAATATAACAATATTTACATATCATTTACATTATATTAGATAGTATAATCTAGAGACAATTTACAAGGTACCAAGTATCCTTGGATTTTGGTTTCCTTGGGGTATCCTGGAGCTAATCCCTGGCAGATACCAAGGGATGACTGTAATAACATCTAATAAGTGAAGGATTTAGACCCTAATATAAGCAATTCTGAGAACTTTTTTTTTTCCACTGGAACAAATTTCCACTTGAATTTACAAGTATCTCTGGAAATGCTGGAACAAATACTGAAATAAATGACCTTTATTTGAAGTCTTTTAAAAAATTATAAGCCTGCCTGAGGATAGCAAAATTGTGTGCTTTTGCAAGGTAATTGTAGAACTTACTCTAAGGAAGCCGAGGTAATGTCTAGTACTATTTTCAGCTCCCTTTTTCTGTCCGCTGTCGTCTAAATGATTCACTCAGTGTTATGCAGAATATGAGAAGTTGTTTTATAAAGTTGTTTTGTTGTGCAGGCTTTATATAGGACTTTTCTTTTGATCAAAATACTAAAGAAAGCTTATAGAAAAAGTGGCCTGGTGTCAGGTTTTTAGTTTCATCCTTATCCAAATGTTGCAGAATTTTAGAATCTTTGGAGTAAACTTTCTCTTAAAAACAAGGCCATCCCCTTTTAGTATAGTGATGGATATAAATAAAATAAAACCAAGGCCAAATTGCATTTTTAAAATTGCAAGGTCCCTGTTTTCCAAATCCTAGTAACAAACTTACTGTTGTACAAATAGGAATAAGATCTAGTAGCTACTTTAGCAATGGACATGGCAAATAAATAAATAAATCTAGTAGTTATGGCTTATTATTTAGGATTTAAGTGAGCCATAGCTACTAGAAATGAAATTGAGGTTCATGTTCTTAATTTGAAATTAAGGATTATGATCTCATTGGTACTGATGAGTCAGCAGCTATCAGTATATAAGGATAACTCTTGGAGAAAGAACTAGTTTAGGAATTATTTTACACAGAATTCTAGTCATGCTGCCTTGGAGGTTAGGCAAATACAATCCTTACTTTGTAGCTTTATTGGTTCTCATATGAATCTTGCAGTAGCCTTCTAACTTGCCTTGCTGCCAGTCCTTCTTTGCCCCAGTTTATCTTTCACATTGCCACCAGTGTTATTTTTCTGAAATACAGAAGCGAATATGAGGCTTCTCTGCTCCTTGGTGATCGTAGTATAAAGTCCAGACTGTTAAGTTTTACGCAAAAAGTATGTTTCACAGCACACTTCAACGTTCTTTTCTACAATCTATTTTTTTTTTTTTTTTTTTTAGATGTATTTTCGCTCTTATTACCCAGGCTGGAGTGCAATGGCGCGATCTCAGCTCACCGCANCCTCCGCCTCCTGGGTTCAGGCAATTCTCCTGCCTCAGCCTCCTGAGTAGCTGGGATTACAGGCATGCGCCACCATGCCCAGCTAATTTTTGTATTTTTAGTAGAGACGGGGTTTCACCATGTTGACCAGGATGGTCTCGATCTCTTGACCTCGTGATCCACCCGCCTCGGCCTCCCAAAGTGCTGGGATTACAGGCTTGAGCCACCGCGCCCGGCCTTCTACAATCTCTTAATTGTACTGAAATCTGGGCTAAATAATGCTATCACTTTTACTACCTTTGTACATGCTTCCTCCCAACTCTGGAATAACCTTTTCCCATCTTTACCTGGCAAACTTCAAACCATACCTCAGGACCCAGCTTAAATTTTAGCTCCTATATGAAGTTTTCTCTGATGCTTTTATGTGTAGTCACCCATATGTGTGGTAGATATTTCTATTTTTGAATCCTTCCTAGCATATGATAATTTTTTTGTTCATAAATCTATTTCTATTATAGTGGGAACTTCTAGAGGACAGGGACCATATCATTATCATCTCAGCATCCTAGCAACTGACAACAGTAAAGGTTTTTCCACTTGAATTTACAAGTATCTGCTTGTGGTTAGCCTTCAGTTAACCTGATATTCCATATCGTTTGCTCCTAGAACTGCTATATAGTACATGATAGGAACTTGGTAAATATTTGATGGTGATAATGGAAAAGGAAAAAAAAAATACATTTCATGTGCTGTGTTTAAGAAGAAAGGTCTAGACCAGGCATGGTGGCTCACATTTGTAATCCCAGTGCTTTGGGAGGCTGAGACAGGAGGATCACTTGAGCCCAGGAGTTTGAGGCTGCAGTGAGCTATGATTGTACCACACTGTAACCTGGATAACAGAATGAGATCCTGTCCCCCTCCCAAAAAAAAAAGGTGCATGAATAAGCCATTTAAGAAAAACTCAGGAATACAGTATTTCAATAGTGAAAAGATTGAAATTATCAGAAGATAATTCAAACTTTTTGGCATAGTATACTCTGGTTGTAGAAATAGAAGATAACAAAATGTTTTCCACATGGTTAGCCAGAAAAACAGAAATACCTTAAGATATTTCAAGCAAAAGTGATTTAATATAGGGATTAGGTAATAAAATTACAAGAAGAACTGGAGGAGCAAAAGAGGTAAGGGAGGCAGCATTGCCCAGCAGTGAGGAACTATGAGAACTCCTTTAGTCATCCCAAAACTTGCAGTCCTGCCAGAGCCTTTTTTTTTTTTTGAGACAGGGTCTCACTCTGTTACCGAGACTGAAGTGCAGTGGCCTGATGATAGCTCAGTGCAGCCTCTTCTTCCGCAGTAGCTGGGACTACAGTTGTATGCCATCATGCCCAGCTAATTTTTTTTAAGTAGAGGTGGGCTCTCACTATGTTGCCCAGGCTGGTCAGGAAGCCCTGGGCTCAAGCGATCCATCTTGGCCTCCCAAATTGTTGGGATTATGGGCATGACCCACCGTGCAGACAGAGCCTTTCACTGCATAAGAAATCACTTTGGCCAGGCATAGTGGCTTATGTCTATAATCCCACTGCTTTGGAGGACCAAGGCAGATGGACTGCTTGAGCCCAGGAGTTTGAGACCAGCCTGAGCAACATGGCAAAACCTCGCCTCTACAAAAAATACAAAAAGTAGTCAGTGTCATGGCATGTACCTGCAGTGCAACCTATTTGGGAGGCTGAAGTGGGAGAATTGCTTGAGCCCAAGAGATTGAGGCTTCAGTAAGCTGAGATCATGCCATGCACTCCATTGTGGGTGACAGAGCAAGACCCTGTCTCAAAACAACCCTCAAAATTTAGCAGCTTAAAACAACAATCATCTCCTACAATTCCGATAACTGAATGAGCTCAGCTGAGCAGTTCTTCATATGATATATGATTTAATTAATCTGAGGGATAAATTAAAAGGTCCAATATGGCTAACTTGTATGGCCGTTAGCTGGCACTATCAGGTGGGATCTCAGCTGGGGTGGTTAGTTGCAGCACCCTGATTCTCCTCCATGTGGCTTGAGCTTTTTTTTAGCTTGGTGGGATTCTAAGCATGACCATCTCAAGAGTGTTCCCAGGGGGAAGGAATTAGAAACTGCTAGTCCTCCTAAGTGCTGGGCTCAGAAGTCCCAGAACAGTTACTCCCTCACATTCCATTGGTCAGAGCAATTGCAGGGCCAGTCCGGATTCAAAGGGGGAAGATATAAGCATGTAGAATGGGGATGTTGTAAACCATCTTTAGAGACTAGTTACCACACCTGTCTGCACAGGTACTTCCCTGCTCTGAAATGCTCCTTTCCTGGCAGACCTTCACTCATACTGCAAGATGCAGCTTATAATTTAGTACCCATGTAGAGCTTTTCCCTGTCATCTCCAGTTCATATAGTCAGTTAGACAAAACTAGATGACGAAATTGTTAGAGTGAGAGTGTCCAGGGAAGGTAACCATGTTGTCACCAGCTCTTTAGTAACTGCAACAGTGAAAGTATTTGCAATTGAACTTGTAAGTGTCTGCTTCTGGTCAGTACTAATTTCACCTAGAGTGCCATACCGTCTGTACTAGAGTTTCAACATGAGGCCTACAACACAGAAGATAGTGAAAATTCAGTGGGGATAATGGAAAAGGAGAAAAAAAAATGTATTTCAAATACTCAGTTTAGGAAGAAAGGACCATATATGAAACACTTAATTAAAAATTTCAGGAAAATTGCTATTTTAGTCTTGAAAGGTTGAAACTTACCTGGAAAAATAATTTTTCCAGCATAGTGCATTTTCTGATTCTAGGAATGCCAGATAAAATATTATGCCATATAATTAACAAGAAAAATGGAAGTTACCTGAGGTGTTTAAGTAAGGAGAGATTTAATACACAAAATTCGATGATGAAGTTGTTAGAAGGGCTGGGGGATCAAAAAGAGGTGGTGTTGCTCAGAAATGAGGAAGTGTAGGAAGCTACTTCTTCCTCTGGAGCCAGCAGTCATCTGCAGAATTTGACTCATACAACAACCCATACTACACATGACTTTAACAGAGTTGTGCTCCTCTGTGCCCCATGCAGCCAGTGCTGCCACTATAAGTATCCAATGTCTAGCTGCTACCCAGGTTCTACAGGAGCCTACTCTTATGACAGTTGGGTATCATACTCTGCTGGTACCACCACTACCTGAGCCAGAAGATTGTTTCCATGTTGTTTAGCTTTTCAATCTCTTGCAAACGCCTACAGTTGACAGAACCCTAACAGGATCCCTTTGAGGTGGTGAAAATGGCTGAATAGAAGCCTTCACCAGTCATCCTCCCCACAGGAACACCAAATTGAACAACTATCCACACAAAAAAAGCACCTTCATAAGAACCAAAAATCAGGTCAGTGGTCACAATACCTGGCTTTACCTTTTTATTACTGAAAGGAACTTAAGAGGGTAGGAAAGACAAAGGGTTCCCTTCTGGCCCATGGTATGTCTAGAAATGTCATCTGGGAGCTAGGGCCTGGAATGGTAGTCTCAGGACTCCTGGTGTCCTATCCTGCTGTGGCTGACTAGACAAAGCCCTCTTTATTCTTAAGCAGAAGGAAGGAGTCTCCCAGAGCTGTGCTGCCTTGGGTTAGGGCAGGCGTGGTGCAAGTATTCTTTTGGCTACTCAACTGGCGTCTTACTGGATTGCATGCCCCTGAAGTTCACTGGCTCCAGGCCCAGTACAGCCTGAGAACTTGCCCAAGAATTGCAGCCCTTGTGGCCTGGACTGAATTGCCAACCCCTCCCCTATCCCGTGTCAGCATCAAGTGACGTAGAGAGAGAATCTGTGAGCTAAGGAGGGGAGAGCACAGTGATTATGGGACTTTGCATTGGAATTGCACAGTCAGATCACAGGAGAAAGTAACGCCAGGCAGAATTCAGCCAGTGCCCACAGAGGGAGCATTTAGATGAAACCTAGTCTAAGGAGAATTGCCCATCCAAGTGGTTGGAACCTGTGTTCTGGCAAGCCTTACCACTGCAAGCTACAGGGCTCTGGGGTTTTAAAAAAACTTGAAAGTCAGTTTAGGCCACAAGGGCTGCAGTTGCTGGGCAAGTCCTCATGCTGTACTGGACTTGGAGCCTGTAGACTTGGGGGTATGCAACCCAGTGAGACACCAGCTGGGCAGCAAAGGAAATGCTTGCACCATCTCTCCCCCAACCCAAGGCATTGCAGCTCTAGGAAAGGCTCCTTTCTTCCACTTGAAAGGAGAGAAAAGAATAATGAGGACTTGGTCTTGCAACTTGGATACCACCTCAGCCACAGAATAGGACACACAGCATATTCCTGAGGTCCCCATTTTAAGCCCTAACTCCCAGGTGACATTTCTAGACACACCATGGACCAGAAAGGAACCCTCTGCTTCGAAGGGAGGGGCCCAGTCGTGGCAGAATTCATCACCTGCTAAGAAGCCTTTGGGCTGTGAAAAATAAGCAGTGGTACCCAGGCAATATTCACCATAGGCCTCGAATGAGACTCGGGGACATGCTGACCTTAGATGTGAGCCAGCACATTCTCTGCTGTGGTAGCTACAGGGAAGAATTCCTGCTTGCGAAAAGGAGGTGGGAGAATAAAGAGGACTTGGCCTTTCAGCTTTAGATACCAGCTTGGCCAGAGTTGGGTAGAGCACCAAGCAGGCTCTTGGGATCCCCGATTCCAGGCCGTGGCTTGTGGATGGCATTTCTGGACCTGCCCTGGATCAGAGAGGAGTCCACTGCCCTGAAGAGAGGGTCCCAGGCCTGGTAGCATTCACCCCAAGTTGACTGAAGAGCTTTCGGCTTTGAATGAACATTGGAGGTAGCCAGGTGGTATTTACTGTGGGCTTGGGTCAGTAGTGGCCATGGAAAGAGACTCCTCTGGTTGTAGAAAGAGGAGGGAAGAGTGAGAAGGACTTTGGATGCCAGTTCAGCCACAGTAGCATAGAACACCAGGTAGATTCCTAATGTTTAAAAATCCAGGCCTTGGTTCTCAGGTGGCATCTCTGGACCTGCCCAGGACTTGGGGTGGGATGGTGGGGAGAGAACTTGTTGCCCTGAAGGGAAGGATGCAAGCCTGACTTTGCCATTTGCTGACTGTAAGGCCCTAGGACCTTGAGCAAACAGGTGGTAGCTAGGCAGTGTTTATCATGGGCCATGGGCAAGGACCAATGCTGTGTTGGCTGCAGTTCTGACCTAGGACAGTCTCAGTGGTGGTAGTCACAGAGGTGCTTGTGTCACCCCTCCCCCAGCTCCACACAGCTCAGCATAGAGAGAGACCACATTGGTTTGGGAAAAACTGAAGGAAGAGAACAAGAGTCTTTGCCTGGTAATCCAGATAATTCTTCTAGAACTTATCTAAGACCACCATGTTATTGGGCTTAGAGTGCCCCTTAATGCAGATATGGCTGCAGTGACTAAAGACTTAGATCACAACACCCAAGTTTCTTCAAATACCTGGAAAGCCTTCTCAAGAAGAAAGTCAGAAACTAGGGTCTGAAATCAGGGTACAAACAAGTTAAAACTGTGAAGACTACAATAAACTCTCGAATGCCCAAACACTGACAAATAACCACAAGCATCAAGACGCTCCAAGAAAACATGCCCTCATCAGACAAACTAAATAAAGCAGCAGTGACCAGTCACAGAGAGACAGAGATACTGTGATCTTTCAGACAGTTCAAAATAGCTATTTTGAGGAAACTCAACAAAATTTAAAATAACACAGAGAAACAATTCATAATTCTATCAGATAAAGAGGTTGAAATAAAAAGCAAGCAGAAATTCTGGAGTTGAAAAATGTGATTGACATATTGAAGAGTGTATCAGAGTCTTAACAGAAGAATTTATCAAGCAAAAGAATTAGCAAGCTTGAAGACAAGCTATGCCGAGAGGAGACAAAATGAAACAATAAGAAAAAGTGAACCACACCTGAAACATCTAGGTTAGCCCTCAAAAGGACAAATTTAAGAATTATTAGCTTTGACTACCTCAAGACATTTAAAAATGAAACTCTCAATGGTCAGAGATAAAGTGAGAATCCTAAAAGCAGCAAGAGAAAAGAAATATTAATAATATAGAGTGCAGCTCCAATATGTCTCCAGCAGGCTTTTTAGTGTAAACCTAACAGTCCAGGAGAGAGTGATATGACATATTTAAAGTGCTGAAGGAAAAAAAAAAAAACTTTTAGCTGTGCTGGAAACTAGGGACACACAGATGCAAATTACACACCTCAATTCAGTAAATATTTGTTTATTATCTGTCCACTAGGTACGGGGTCTACCAAGGTGAATTAAGGCCAGATTTCTTTCTGTGAGGTCCTCATAATCCAGAAAGAAAGAATGACAAGCAAATGATTATAAGATTATGATAAGTGCATTGATAAATCAAAAGTATAACCACAAGAAAAAAATTGAATGGTAAATTTTTAAAAATTTAGGTGACAAGAAACTTGGAGGTTACTTAAAATTACCCAAGAAGAGACTTCTTGTTTCAACATGGCTGAATAGGAAAAGCTTCAGTCCACAGCCCCCAGCGAGATGAACGCAGAAGTGGGTGATTTCTGCCTTTCCAACTGAGGTACCTGGTTCATCTCACTGGGACTGATTGTACAGCGGGTAACCCACAGAGGGCGAACCGAAGCAGGGTGGGGTGTCGCCTTACCCAGGAAGCTCAAGGGGTCAGGGGATTTCTCTCCCATAGCCAAGGGAAGCTGTGAGAGACTGTACCAGGAAGAATGGTGCATTCCAGCCCAGATACTGCACTTTTCCCACGGTCTTCGCAACCGGCAGACCGGGAGATTCCTTCAGCATTTGCTACACTGTTCTGAATTATTGACATATTTTTCTCTCATTTAATTCAATCTTGAGGACAGGAGCTATGTCTTGATGATCTTTGAGCCTTCTGCTCCTATCACAGTACCCAATGTATCATAGATGTTGTAAATAGTAGTTGAAAGAATCAACATAAAATGGTAGATAAAGGGGCTGAAACATTTTTTCATTAATAATCTTCAGGAAACACATTTAGGAATTGTAGCAAATGTTAGCTGCCTACCCAACAGCCATTCTCCTTTCTCTTTTGTTATCAAAACCCAGGTTTTGTTGCAGCAATGGACCCTATGGCATGATTCTTAATAGACCTAAGTCAGTCATGGCATCCCCCTTCTTTTCCAGTGATCCATGTGGGTTTGGCATGATGAGTCATAGAGGGACGATGTTGAGGCTTCAGGGAGAGATCTTCCCTGATAGGGAGTCACCTTCTCCCTTTTACTCCCTGCTATGTTTACTGTTTTAGAAGGTATATGAAGCATGGAACTGGAGGAGCTGTCCTGTGTCAGCCTGGAATAATCAAAAAGATCAAAAATCCTGTTTTAGGCAACATAGCAAGACCCCATCTCTACAAAAAATTTAAAAACTTAGCCAGGTATGGTAGCACATTCCCGTACTCCTACCTACTTGGGAGGTTGAGGTGGGAGGATCACTTGATCCCAGGAAGCTGAGGCTACGGTGAGTTGTGATCACACTACTGCACTCTCACCTGGGCAACAGAGTGAGGCCCTATCCACCCAAAAAATAAATAAAAATTTAAAAATCCAGTTTTTTTTAAGAGTTTATTCACCAACCTGGACAACATAGCAAGACTCTGTCTCTACCAAAAAAAAACACTGTTTTTAATTAACCAGGTCTGGTGGTATGTACCTCTAGTCCCAGCTACTGGGGAGGCTGAGGTGGGAAGATCGCTTGAGCCCAGGAGGTCAAGGCTGCAATGAATCATGATTGCACCACTGCACACTAGCCTGGGTGACAGAGTAAGACTGTCTTAGAACAACAACAACAACAAAAACAAACAACAACAAAAAAACACCAAGAGTTTATTCAAGGAAAAAGCTGGGAATGGCCATCTGGGAAACAGACTCTAAAGAATAGGGTCAGTGTTATGAAGTTTAAAGTTAAGGTCTTGCTTATAAATGCAGAAAACGAAATTTAGTCGGATTATAACATGTTCACTGCTAAGCTGGTTTATGAATTATAACAGTTTGATTAGTTACATTTTGTTTTCCTTACAACTTATTTTACTTCTTAACAGCTTGTCAGCTCCTTTCCAATTTAGACATTGTGAGAGTGATGAAGCCTATTTTATATATTTATTGTGGTTTTATTCATAATTGTGAGAAACTGGAAACAACACAAATGTCCAACAGGAAATGGGTAAGCACAGGAAAGAAGCAGAAAAGCCCAGGAAAAGAAAGGGGCAGGACAAAGGCACTGGGGAGCTTGAGTGTTGTGTATCTTGAGTGTTGTGACAGTTCTATATTTCTGTGTATTTCTCAAAACTAGAATTGTACACCTAAAGAGCAAACTTCTCTGTTTATAAATTATAACATTTTTAACAAAGTTAAAAAAACTTAATGTTTTCTTAAGTATGAGGAAATAAACTACTAATACAAACAATATAAAACAAAATCAATTCAGATCAGCCATCAAACATTAAACATGGAGAAATAATCCAGTTTATCTACTATTGAAAACTGAATGAAAGCAATATAAGTTGCTCTGTCATTCCACTGTATTATTATTTAAGGCCTTCTCAGAAACCATAAAAGATAGCAGCTTTGATTTATAAACTAGCAATACTCTTACCAGCTATCAAAGTAATCAAGAGTCCTGTGATACTGGGATATTTTCTTAATACAGAATATAGAATGTGAATGTGCTTAGAGAAAGATAAGAAGTGAGACAATTGGGTTCTTGTATTAGTTACAGGGAAATACTCTGGCTCCAGTTCTTTAAAATTACACCAAGAGCTGCCAAGATTGAGTAGAAGAGATGAAAACCAATCTGGAGTAAAAGAAAGATTGTCACATGCTAGTGTGACATAAGCATGATTCTAAAAATAATACATACAAAATTCATTTAGCTTATTAGAATTATCTTGTAGGCCACTGATAATTTTTCATCATCATACTGTAAACAGTAGACACCTTTACTATTTTCAGAGTGTCACTGAATCCTCTGCAAGGTGTGTCATCCACACTGCCAGTTAGATTCTACAGTTGCTATAACCTGGATAATCTTTGAGTATAATGACCTATAAAATGAATTGGGAGGGCCATCTGTGGGTCTGCTTTTAAACAGGTACTGTCCTACCCTCTTCTTTCTGAAAGTCCCTTCCATAGAGGATCAGTGTGTACCATTCGTTCAATCAGCTTCTTCCAAAGCATTCATTCTGAGATCACTTGCCACTATTCTTTACATATCAGCACTGCTACACACAGAGACCTGGCATCCAGGTATGAAAGAATGTTTTCTGCTATGTGATGTAAGCCTTGCTCTGGTAAAGTGGTAAAGTCCTGCTGCAACATGGGCTTCAGGTACAAGTTAATATGTCCATGCTGATAGTGACAAATTTGTGAAATAAGATGTTCCAAATAGCCTTAGTTGGTTGGGTCTTTAATCTGGAATCTATTAATACACTCAGAGTTTTAAAAAAATTGGTAGAACAGCCAGTTGTCTTAAATTGATACATTGCCTCCAGGCTAAATTTTAGTTATCCTTTGTCATTCCAAACATTTCTCAAATTTCTCTTTAACTGTCTGAGGTTGAGAAGTAGTTGCCTCTTTCAATTCTACAAGTAGATCCTCAAACTGGTGAACTCTTTATTCCCTTCATTACTTACAAAATGGTCAGTTATTTCTCTCAGCTCATCTCTTTCTTGTCATAGCTTGCCAAATGCAGCCAATAGCAAATAACACACAACATTCTGTTTTCCAGCCTTCCCCCTAAGCTACAAATGTATTAAGTATATGACCTGTCTTCCAAGTTACTGTAGATAACAATTTTACTAAAAGTTTCATTACTACATAGCATGGATTGCTGTCTGAAACTCTGAAAAGAATTTTCTTGCTACCTGCTGTCTCTCTTAAATATTTTATGTTCTTGTTACGGCAACCCACTTTGGATAACTATGTCTACCTTAAGTGACGATGACCTAGATTTTGCGGTAGTAACAACCCTAAATTCTCAGTAGTTCGAAACAATAAAGATTTGTTTGTTCCCTATTGCTATGGTCTGAATATATCCCCCAAAATTTATTGTTGAAACTTAATTGCCAATGTGATAATATTAAGAAGTGGAGGCTGGCTGCTTCAAAGGTAGTCAGTTATCTCAATGTTCGCAGTCAGTTACAGATAGAACTCCTTGTTCTACTTTTTCCTCCCTTCTCACTACTGCAGTTGACTGGTCTTGAAAAAAAAAACAACAACAACAATGTGGAGGCTTTTAGGAGTGATTAAGCTGTGAGGGTAGAGCCCTCATGAATAGGATTAGTGACCTTACAAAACAGGTGCAGGGAGCTGTTCACCCCTTCTGCCATGTGATGATGCATTAAGAGACACCATCTATGAAGTAGAGAGCAAGCGTTCAACAGACATAAAATCTGCAGGTGCTTTGATCTTGGACTTTCCAGCCTCCAGACCTGTGAGAAATACCTTCCTATTATTTTTAAATTACCCAGTCTCAGGTATTTTGTTATAGCAGCCCAAATAGACTAAGGTGCTTATGCAACTTGTCTTCACAATGTGGAGCAGAGCCCCCACAACTACCCCAAATAGACATGTAGTCTACCTCACAGGTGCACTGCAAGATACCTGAGACTTTCTCAGGGCATACATTGCAAGAGGAAAAATCAAACTGCTTTTTCTCTCTACTGACACACTTAACACAGAACACTTCTGTGACCAGATATATGGTGTGATTTCCCCACACATCAGTCAGTTCTGCAGCTGACACCAGCTGGATGTCCTTTAACGCAATTCAATTCTGATACTATCTACCTGGAGATAGGGTCAGATTCCACAGATTAAGGGCTCAATCCCACAAGACTGCTTCGATTTCAGGTACCAATCACAAGTAGTGGGATATTACCAATACTTCTGACCAACTGGCTATAAATCATGGCCTCCACTATCACCTTGAAAAAGCTGCATGTTTTGAGAATGGCTTAAGGGCTGGGATGAATTTGTCCCACATCATGCTGGGTAGTATGGTACTGCTGTCTAAGCTAAGTTGCTGAAGTCCAACTAGCTTCTTACCTTGTTCTTGTGTGGTCCTGGCTGTCTGGGTAGGTGTGCTGGGTGGACTCAGTGTTTCTTTGGGTTTTGTGTAAGATGACTGGCTTTGACATGGTGTTCAGGGGACTGGTAACATAATGAATCCTCTCTCTTTTTTAAAAATTTTTGATGGAGTGTCACTCTGTCGCCCAGGCAGGAGTACAGTGGCGCAATCTCGGCTAACTGCAACCTCTGCCTCCTGGGTTCAAGCAATTCTCCTGCGTCAGCGTCCCAAGTAGCTGGGATTACAACCACCCACCAAGCCTGGCTAATTTTTGTGTTTTTATTAGAGATGGGGTTTCACCATGTTGGCCAGGCTGGTCTCAAACTCCTGACCTCAGGTGATCTGCCTGCCTCAGCCTCCCAAAGTGCTGGGATTACAGGCATGAGCTACTGCACCCGGCATGAATCCTTCTCTCTTATGTGAACTGGCCTGAGGCTCCAGTTTTGTACCCTTTTGTAATAATAATTCTATACAAAATATTTTTTCCAACATTTAGACCTTTATGAACAGAGGAAACAAATAGCTTTCATAATGTCGGATTATAGACTTATTTTTGTTGCAGAGAAGTATAATACAGCAGTCAATTAAAGATTCAAGCATAAAATATATTTGGATAATGTACTATGGGAGAAGTGGGATGAGAATATGACTTCAAGGAGAAAAAGGAATAATCTAAAATTACTTTGTTTCAGAAGAGCTTGTTTATGTACTTCTTAAATGGATGATGGTTATTTTAGTTAAGGGGCTGTTAGCTACTGAAGCAGATAAACCATCAAATCTCAATGGCTTAAGTTGAAATTTACGTAAGTCATGTAAAAATCTAATGGCTACTAGGCAGTGGGTGTTAATGGGAGATTGGAAGGCAGTGGTTGGAGGAAATGGTCTTTGCTTAATATAGTCAGTCAATCAATATGTAGCTGGTAGAAGGGAAAAGAGAGAGAGCAGCATACAGATCGTGCATTGGCAGTTTTTATGGGCCAGACCAGGAAGTAGCATAAGTCACTTTCACTCACATTCTGTTGCCCTGAATTCATTCTACACAGCCACACCTAGTTTCAAGGGGTGCTTTTTATCCACAAAGAAGAGAAAGTGGGATTGGTAAACAGCTAGTTGATCTGTAATTCTAGAGTGGAGATAAAATTGCTAAAATATTTAGATTTATTTTTTGTACAATAAAAAGAGCAAAGTCACGGGTCTACTTTTAATGTCAGCATCTAAACAGCAAAGGAAAATGTATCTTTTGTGAAGACAGCCCATTGAGATTTGGGTTTGAAACATCTTTAGTTGGAGCAAGCAGGCATTCACAATCTGACAGATTTTTCTAGTTTATAATTTGTCGCAAGGTTGTTTATGCATAAGCTTCCCCTCATCGAACTTCAGAAGAAAAAGAGTTTCAGTTTTGGTGAGTCCAAGTCAGAAAAATGGAAGAAAAATTGAGAAACATTTGTTGGTGTAAGCTATAAATGGCTTAAAAGAAAAATGTTTTCTTTAGGAAAAAAAGAATCAGCAATGTTTCAAACAAAAAGTTGTCGTTAAAAAACAATTTCCGTTATTCATCATTTCAAAACTATTGTTCCATTTGGTGATACATTAGCAATTTTATGAGTCCACTTTTGTTCTCTTAGTGTTCTGAAATTATTTTACCCCATCTAATGATTAAATCTTGATTTCCTTTAAAAAAATTTTTTAAAGGATGAGCTTGCTGTTAAAAAAGAAGAAGAAAAAATTTTAAATAGAGATAAGGTCTTGCTATGTTGCTCAGGCTGGTCTTTAACTCCTGGCCTCAAACGATCATTCTGCCTTGGCCTCCTAAAGTGCTGGGACTACAGACATGATTCAATCTTAAAGTCATCAGAAACATGTATTCAAGATTATGTGTTGTAGTCTTTTCCATGAATTTCCTTAAAGACACAAAATTTTAAGATTTATAAAGGGAGAGACCAAGGCAGGCAGATCACCTGAGGTCAGGAATTTGAGACTAGCCTGGCCAAATGGCAAAACCCTGTCTCTATTAAAAATACAAAAAAATTAGCTGGATGTGGTGGCGCACACCTGTAGTCCCAGCTACTCAGGAGGCTGAGGCACGAGAATCACTTGAACCTGGGAGGCAGAGGTTGTAGTGAGCCGAGATCACGCCACTGCACTCCAGCCTGAGTGACAGGAAAGATTCATATAGAGCTTCGGAAAACAAGAGCATAAGGATAAAACCACAGATGCTTAATTGTGGACAATAAGACTTAAAATGACCTTGATTAAAGATGCAATTGACAAGGAAATTTGGTCATTTTTGTGGTCTACCACAACTTTACACAATATCCATAATTATGACTGGTAACACATATCAGGACGTATCAGATTTTTAAGAATCACATATAATTTTGGAACACATACTAACACATTTATACAAAAATGACTCAAAAAAAGGCTAAACATTGCTACCAATTGCCAACTCCCAATCAGAATATGCTTAAATCTACCTGTGACTTGGAAGCCCCCACTTTGAGTTGTCCCGTCCTTCCAGATCAAGCCAATTTAAATCTTGCATGTATTGATTGATGTTTTGTGCCATATGATTTAGCTTTGTCTCTACCCAAAATCTCATCTTGAATTTTAATACCCATACTCCCTATGTGTCAAGGGCAGGACCAGGTGGAGGTAATTGGATCATGGAGGCAGTTTCCTACATGCAGTTTTCATGATAGTGAGTGAGTCTCATGAGATCTAATGGTTTTATAACTCTCTGTCATTTCCTCTGCTGCCACTCACTACAACCTGCCACCCTTTGAAGAAGGTCCTTGCTTCTCTTTCACCTTCCACCATGGTTGAAAATTTCCTGAGGCCTCCCCAGCCATGCAGAACTGTGAGCCAATTAAACCTCTTCTATTTATAAATTAATTACCCAGTGTCAGGTATTTCTTCATAGCAGTATGAGAACAAACTAATACAGAAAATTGATGCTGAGGTAGTGGGGCACTGCTATAAGGATATCCAAAACTGTGGAAGTGACTTTGGAACTGGGTAATAGGCAGAGGTTGGAACACTTTGGAGGGCTCAGAAGAAGACAGGAAAATGTGTGAAAGTTTGGAACTTCCTAGAAACTTGTTGAATGGCCTTGACCAAAATGCTGATAGTACTATGGACAATGAAGTCCAGGCTGAGTTGGTTTCAGATGGAGATGAGGAACTTTTTGGGAACTAGAATAAGTGACTCTTGCTTTCACAGAGACTGGCAGCATTTTACCCCTTCCCTAGAGATCTGTGGAACTTTGAACTTAAGAGAGATGATTTAGGGTATCTGGAAGAAGGAATTTCTAAGCAGCAAAGTATTCAAGAAGTGAACTGGCTTTTTCTGAAAGCATACAGTTATATGTGTTCACAAAGAAATGGTCTGAAATTGGAGCTTATATTTAAAAGGGAAGCAGAGCACAAAAATTCTGAAAATTTGAAGCCTGACCACCATGTAGTAGAAAAGAAAAACCCATTTTCCGGGGAGAAATTCAAGCTACTGGCTGTAGAAACCTGCATAAGTAAAGAGAAACTGCTTAGTAATAGCCAAGACAATGGGGAAAGTGTCTCCAGGGCATTTCAGAGATCTTCCTGGCAGCCCCTCTCATCACAGGCCTGGAAGCCTATGAGGGAAAAATGGTTTGGTGGGTGGCCCGCTGCTCTGTACAGCCTCAGGACATGGCATCCTGTGTGCCAGCTGCTCCAACTCCAATCATGGCTAAGAGGAGCCAAGGTACAGCTCAAATCATTGCTTCAGAGGGTGCAATTCCCAAGCCTTGGCAGCTTCCATGCGGTGCTGGGCATGCAGGTGTGCAGAAGACAAGAGTTAAGCTTTGAGAGTCTCTGCGTAGGTTTCAGCCTGGATGTCCAGGAAGAAGTCTGCTCCAGGAGCAGAGCCTGCATGGAGAACCTTGAGTAAGGCAATGCAGAGGAGAAATATGGAA